CGCGAGATAACAGTCTGTGGTGTCACACTCGTCTGGTTCGTTTTACAAGATTTCATTGACAATATCTTTAATGCAAATTGGTATTTCCTCTCACCCTGCCGATAAAAACGTCTCTATTAGAGTAAAGTTTTACAAAACATGTCGGAACGCAGCATAACCTATTTATTTCGAACGGCCATCGCTAAGAAGCATCAAGCAGGTATAGCGCCATCTACGCGTCACAAATTGTGATTCATTTGGTTTATAAATATATTATTGCGATATACAGATGGCAACCGTGTGCTACCGCCTAGAAAAACTCATACGAAGTAAACACTTCCAATGCAACCAATTAAACTTGACAAAAGTTGTGTTATGGGCAGGGAAAACCATTGTCACGTGGTATATACAGGGATCAGATTGGAGAATTTAATTTTCAGCTGAAATTGAAATTAGGCAAACAGAGGAGCGAGCAATGCGAGGACCGTAGGTCATCGCCATGCTAGGGGGGTCCGGGGGCATGCTGCCCCGTAATTTTTTTAAAAGAACAGTCTGCACGAAAAACTTCCACCCTCATTGGCCCAGCGGGCCTGTAGAAATGTATAATTCACTGGCCCACACGTAGGTTTTACAGGCCCGAATCAATGATCACCATATTATGAAAAGAGAAACCGACCCGGACCGGAAACGCGGAGTTGTTGCGACCTCTAGCGGCGACAAACCACGCATGTGTTTGACTAGTTACTTCCCACTGACTAAGATCGGGAATATGATGCCCTATCGGTAAATTATTGGAAATTTTCATGCAAATATATCGGGAATTTCGGTAAATTCTCAGACTGATATCACATAAAGAAGCTGAAAGATCATTAATAGACCATTTACTCCATTTTTTTTCCACTGGCCCATCGGGCTTGTTCATTTACCAGTTGCATGGGCCCCATGGAAAATTTACTGGCCTCGGATACCGGGCCAGTGGTTAATTTCGCAGACTGAAAGAATGGTGCAATTTGGTGCATTCTAAGCTTATTCTGAACACATTATAGGAGACTCTTGAATCACCTTTCAAGTTGTTAAAAGGAACAACGAACTATGATAAGGAAATCAGGGGCCTGAAAATAGGGCAAGTTTTTTTATTAAATGTCTAGACATAATGATATTTTCTGTTTCCACCCGTCGCTTGCATTGTTTTACTCAGACATAAGCTGCCTTTCTGCGATGAGATTTGAATGAAAAAACTTCCAAGGAAAAAATTCCAACACAATGCGAATGGAACAATGAGTGCATAGTCATGCACACAATATGCACACAGCAACATGTAAACCCGGCCCCCAGGCCAGGCCCCTCTACTGCAGCCTGTGAACGAGGATTTTCTTTTCTGGTACACAAAAACAGATACACTGTATACTTCGCTGTCAGTCTACAGTCAGATGATGTTGAGCAGTTGAGGGTATATAATTTAAATGTTTACATTGTGACCCCCCTCCCAATTTTCTCAACGAATTTAGACGTTTCAGAAAATCGACCCCTGGGACTGTAAAATCCGCGGATTTCCGCGGATCCGCGAAGGAATCTCATCCCTGTATATAGCAGCTACGTGGAATAAGCGTATCCTCTCAATCTTACACGTTACACATCGGGAGCTCCGCTTTTAGCAGCCGCCCTAAATCTGATATTATAAAACGTTAAATGTGCGATCATTTTAGGTGTAACAGCCATCACTCGCCCACATCTCAGACTTTCACATCTCAAACCATTCATTTTCAGATTATCTGCGTGTCTATAATATAATATGCTATATAATCGCCAAAACCTACCTAATTTGCATTTTTTTTTTAAATATCAAAACCCCTAGCCCTTATTCATTCACATACCAAAAATGAGCAAAAACCGTTGAACCTGAACTGACTAATGGCAATTCCCATTTTTGCCAAAAAATTGCTGTGGCTCGAAAGTACGTACACATTCACATACCAAAATTTAACAAAATCGAATGAATTTAGATGGCCATTTTCATTTTTGCCAAAAAGTGGGCGTGGCTCGAAAGTAGGTCGTCTGGCGTGCTCCAAAATATGAGGTTCAAATCTCTCCCATAGGAGTAGCAACTGTATTCAATTTGATACATGTGGCTCAAACGGTTCTTGAGTTATCATTGACCGTAGGCAGACACTGAAAATGCATAGTGAAATTGCCAAAATCTACCTAATTTGCATAATTTAAAAAAAAATCAAAACCTGTGTGATATGTTTTGGGGCCAGTCCTTATTCATTTACATACTAGAAAAGAGCAAAACCCATTGAACCTGAACTGACTTATATGGCCATTTTCATTTTTGCCAATAAGTGGACATGGCGCGAAAGTAGGTCAACTGGCGTGCTCCAAAATAGGACGTTCAAACCTCTCCCATAGCAGTAACAACTATACCCAATTTCAAACGTGTGGGTCAAACGGTTCCTGAGTTGTCGTTGACCGTAGCCAAATGTTGATGGAAGGACGGACGGACTTACGACGGACAACGACCCATGGCAATAGCTCAGCTTGACGATGTCAAGGTGAGCTAAAAATTCACTAAAACTCATTTGTATTACTACTTCCATAACATTCCTTTAGCAAACCTAAACAGTGTTACGAAACTAGTACTTTCGAATGTTTACACAGTGTTTACACATCCGGGACACAGCTAGCCGATCGAGGAATCGTCGTTTTCATTTATAGTTTATTTCTATGATAAAACAAGTTGTAATTTATTATTTGATAGTATCAAGAGCGTATAAAGAAGGAGAGCGTACAACGGATAAATGCTGAAACCATGTTGCAGTATTAGTCGAATTAATAAACTCCCCGTTTTATTTTGACGATTCTTGCAGTATTATTGATCAGCTGTCCTACCTTGTTAATATAAAACAAACCGCATGTCCCTACGATGCCCCTACGCTGAGATAATGAGCGTGAAAATCTGGTATTTTCGCCGAAAACCGACTCGAGATCACTGTTTACTGTGTAGTGACTGTCTCTCGCTTTGAGATAACTTCGGGAAACCTCGCATTTTTCCGGCAATGATTGACAAATGGGATGAATGACGTCTGTTATTGATTGCCATAGTGATGACCCCCACCTGTGCCCACCTGACGCTGGATGTATAGTAAACTCTGTAGTACTGACGTGAGTCAGCGCTACCATGGCGCTACACAGTGGCGACCGGAAGCAATACACTGGCCACAAAGCGAGAGAGGGTCGCAGTAAACTGTAATCTCGAGTCGGTTTTCGGCGAAAATACCAGGTTTTCACCGCTCATTATTTCAGCGTAGGAGCATCGTAGGGACAAGCGGTTTGTTTTATATTCGCAAGGTTAGGACAGCTGATCAATAATATCCTGCAAAGAACGTCAAAATGAAACGGGCAAAGTTTCTTAATTCGACTAATACTGCAACATGGTTTCAGCATTTCACCGTTGTTCGCTCTCCTTCTTTATACGCTCTTGATAGTATGTGTTATCTACATTAGTTATGCAATCAGCAAACAAATGTAGTGTTTTCTTTCCAGGAACTATTTGCGCTAGCGTAGGCCTACTGTTCGCGTTCTTAGTCGCTTTGCTTAACAATTTATGTGTATCTATATGCCAAAACTTTCATCTAGAAAGTTTTCAAAATGCTCTAACTCGAAACACATTTCTGGCTTAATCAAAACATTTCGTGATGTTTTCATACTGCAAGTATGCTCACAGTAGGTGTATTTAGGCCAATATTTTGTTCCAAGGGTTATCCACTTTAAACTAAAGAATACAAGTTTATGTTGCCAAGGTGTGTGATTTTTGATTGTGTCACGGACTGCAGTGTTCCCGGCCATGCTTTGAATATTCTTCTGAAATCATAGTCATAGGTTGTAGTATAGCCCTGTAGCAGGAGCGAAGAGGCTACACTGGTACTACTACTAGTACTACATAAGTCCGTGCACTAGCATTCCTCCCATCCTTCGGTTAGTGTTAATTTATTCATAGAGAAGCCAGTTTATCAGCAAGCCACTGTGATGTCATCTTAGTGGCAGTCGATATTCATGTACTCCTTTTATGGAAGTAATACTATTTATTCTGTCCAACAACCACACTATGTAACATCTAAACAAACGTTGTGTAGATATATGTATGTATATACTATATAATTTGTAGTTGATCATGCTCCTGATAGTATCATGTCAGCTGCCTTCTCTGCAACCATGACTGTAGTGGCATGGGTGTTAGCTGATACAATCTCCGGCATTATAGAAGCATCAGCCACTCTCAGACCACGGACTCCACGAACCCTGAAAAAACGCAAGAGTTAATAGCAAACATGGGTTTGCAATATAGCTATTTTAAATAACATCTAAAATTGAATACAGTAAATTGCAGTAACATCATGTTAAGAATGAACATTTGTGATATCAACAGCTAGGGAAAAAGAGTGTTCATAGATGTGGAAACGATTATTGTGACTAAAGTAGCCAAACATTTTTCGAAAAGACATTCTGACATGCATCCCAACCTGCTTACACAGAGAATAAACAAATTTACATATTACATATGAAGATTATGACAACATCACTGCGCAAACAAGGAACAATGAACAGCAAATAGCAGATCGTGCCTGTTTGATTAGAATGTTCAATTGATTATGGTTGGCTGTATTTACATAGATATTAACGTGTTCACGTACTTGAGTTGTGGATCAACAACTGCAGTTTGGTCATTAGCTGCTCCCATCTTACATGTTCCTGTCGGGTGGTACATGGTGACTGTTACTGTTCTTATGGCACAGTCCCAGTAGTTGTCAGACTTGTATTCATGCTTCTCACAGCCTGGAACGATCTGATCTCGCAGTCTAGCGCCGACGGCTTTGAATGCTTTAGTCTCAGCAAACTGTAGTCCGATCTTTATGCCTAGAGAAGTAATCGTAAAAGCCATGTATGTAGTATATGTATGTAGTTGTAGCAGTATGTATGTTATTACAAGTTAAACTGTAAAAGTAGCAAGCGTGTAAAGCTGTTGAACAGCAGTGTCGCCACTTGTTGTTATTCCTGATTCATAAAGGTTCATTCAATGCACATCAAATATCTGCTGCAGTTTTAAATGCCATTACAGGAGAATTACAAATGAGAGTTCATTCAGCAAAATTATTTGACAGCATTGTGTTGCTTATCTTTTAGAATTTACCGATGAAAACACCAATCTTACCCTCTACTAAGGATTTGACATCAGATTTATCATCAAAGTAGTTTGGATCAATCTCAGGTGGATCGAGTGCGTCTGATGATTGCAGCCGTATCTCTCCAACACTCTTCGGGTGAAGAAGGAATGCAATCCACGTCGTGACTGGACGAGTCTTGTGCTCGGAAAAGTTGTAAGTCTTTAAAAACTGAAACAGTCAAACGGACATAAATATAACCTAAATTTGTCTATTCATTGTTTCATTATTAGCGATGGACAGTGAAAATATAACCGCATACTTTAAACTTCAAAGCTATTTGCTTGATTCAGCTGAAGTATAAGTACACTTCAATTTTTAACCTGTATCGGTTTTGACATGTAATTACACATATATTTTACCCTGATTGCCGTTGTTGATTTAGTTGGATGGTATAATGCACCCAACATACATAGGAAGCATGTTTCATGTGTAAGACCACTACAAAATAGAAAAACTTACGTTCTTGTTGAAGCCAATAGCATTGTATATTGCTTCATCATTTTCCATGCCCATTCCCCATGGGCAGTATTGTATTTCAATATCAGGCAATTCAAGTTTAGGATCAGCTGCTTTGGTCTTGACAATACCTACTCCATCACATAGAGGATATGCGAGAGGGCCTGCAACATACGATGATATTTTATAACAGGAATTACACTCTGTGTATAAATCAACATATATATCTGTATATGCTACCTTTTACACGTAACCTGAACATTGCCAGCACTTGGTTGAAAATGCACTTTAAGAAAGCTAGAGAGATTTTATAGAATTGTTGCTAAATGAAAACATAGAGGAAAGTGCCAAGTAATAGATTAATATTTTTTGACTAACCTTTTCTAAATAGAGCATACTGTGTGCTGGCCTTCCAACTCTTAATTTGATCGGCAGTGATTGTCATTGGTTTCTCTATCCAGAACTCGGGGTAGAAGAGGCCAGGATGGTCCTGAAGGTGCTGACCAACTGGTAAGTCAGCAACAGTTGATATCTTAAATTCAGTAGAAACGTAAATGGTTTGATCAGAATATGTTACGGATTGTGAAGTAAATAAATTGTCAGCTATGCAGTTGAAACTTCCCAATAATTACTTATAAATTACAAAGTTTGGGAGGAAATTTTGTTTGAGAGAAATTGGGTCATATATCAGTCAATCAAGTTGTCAATCATTACTTATTGAAGGCACAGTCATTATTCAGTAGATTTATTAATCGTCCTAACCAAATAAATATCAAACGGATCATACATTGAACTTGGTAAGGTGATCCTTCGGCCCAACACCAGACAACATGAGGATGTGCGGAGAACCAATGGTACCAGCAGAGAGAATCACTTCCTTTGACACACGAACAGTCTTCTTCTCAGCACCGTGAATGAAGGTGACTCCTGTCGCCTTCTTACCATCAAAGTTTATCTGAAAGCCAGCTAATATTAATATCACAATCGTCTTCTATAATTTCGAACAATACTGTTTCAGTTATAAGCTCACTGCATGATCCTCATCAATGCGTTACCTTGGTTACGTGAGTATTGATGGCTATGTCTAGGTTTGATCTGTGCATGGCTGGTCTCAGATATGCCTCAGCTGTGCTCCAACGTTTTCCATCTTTTGTGTTTGCTTGTGATTTCATAAAAACTGGAGAAAATCGGAGAACCAGTGTAATTATACAATATACGTCACCCTAATAAAGGGGAGTTAGCTAATTACTTGGTCACTACGTTAAGCATCACCGACAAGAATGGAAAATATTTCATCAGTTAAACAGCCTGTATGTAATTCATTGATAATTTATCATCACCCTCTTGATTCTCTCCATTAACATCTCCAAGTTTATAACCAAGTTCCTTTGCAGCATCTAGAAAAACATCTGCCAGTTTTGTGTATGAAGCATCAGAGATAGTCCATGGTCCACCTGACCCATGGTAACCTGTAACATAGCCATAAATAACATTTATAAATCTATCTATCTATAATACTTGAATAAAGGGGTAAAAAGTCCTACAAGCCAAATAGAATACAGCCAACAAGAAAACGTTGTATTAGACGCCATTGTATTTTGAACAGCTGGCGCTAGTGTAGGCACAGAAGCTTGATCAAGCCTGTGTTCCTGAATATTTTATAAATTTATGGTGCAAACTGAATATTATTTCTGGACTACTGGTGTTATGGATAAAGTTTAATTACTCAAGATTACACTGGAACTGAAAAATAGCCACCAAAACAATTGGCAGAGCTGGTATCCAACCGTAGATATTCTGTGTTCATCTGTTGCTATGGCGTGTTGAAACATGGCGTGCTTAGCGATGGGATCCCCTGGAGCTATACTGTAGGTTCAACCAAATCAGGAAGGTCACAGGGAAGTCTCATTTGCAATTAATAGTGCTCATCGGCGGTTCTGTGATGTCAACTCGGCAACAGTCCCGGCAAGCAGCAGTTCTGTGCAGTCAATACGACGACAGCTCTGGCAACCGGCAGTTCTGTTCTTGTCAACTCGGCAGCGGTTCTGGCAATCAAGCAACAATATTTCTCTGCGGCCGTCTCAGCTAAGCTGTGCCGTCGATCAACAGGACTTCTTGCCAAGGGACGCTATCCTGCGCCATGTAGCGTCGTCATTGTAGGCGTAGCCTCGCAGTTTAATAATGACAGTACAGTTCAGAGAAGGAGATATGATTGTCGCATTCAGGGTAACCGATGCGCCACAACATACGGCAGTGGTGGCAAGTGGGCGAAGACCGTATAATGGAATGCGACCGCGTCCGGGGGTAACTGACGACCAACCTACAATCCACAACGTTAAAACCACCAGAAGGCAGCCTCTCACCCTTGGCGCTTGGAATGTACGTACCTCTAATGATAGTGATAATTCAATCAGACCAGAACGTGCAACAGCTATCATCTGCTAGAGAATTAGAGAAAAGCATGTATTGATATCTGCTTGCGCTCAGTGAAGTGCGACGTCCCGGCTCAGGCAATATCGTTGGAAGAAGTCACACAATTAAAGGTTTTGCCATCTCCAACAAACTAGCTCCTCAACGGTATCAATCCGATTACCAATCAATGACAGGCTTATGATCACGTGCGCCATACAAGTTGAAGATAGTGGGGCGAACACCTACACTTATCAGCGTATATCTTGATCGTGATCTTGATCTTGATGTGCTGTACTGCGTCGAACCGCGTATTACGCGGCCAATTAAGTGTATATTGTAACATTGCAGTTACGCTGTTGGTTCTGCCATAATCAGTTGCAGACGAATCTAAGTGCAATCCAACTACGCAAAGAACACATGAAAGACAAGAACAGTTTTACAAGCGCTTGGCACTTGGCATTACAGCCAGCTAAAGATGACAACATCATAGTTCTAGGTAATCTTGTGTTTGGCATAGACTGCGAAATCGCTGCGCCATCTGTCATCGGTAAACACGGCTTGGTAATCTTGAATTCAAATGACTAACTGCTATTAGAGTTCTCTGTTAACCAGATTTCAGCTTTATACTCATGGCGTACAATGTTTCAACTTAACGGACAGCCTGAAGAAAACACCATGCCGCACTTGCGGCTCAAAGCACATGGCATCAGCACTGACCATGTACTACCAAAATCAAGCGTGCAAAAGCAACAAGTCATAGCTAAACCAAAGTCAATCAAGCCAGCGACTGCTTCACTGCATTCACAACGTTGATTGTTTGCTAAGTAGTCATTTCTCCATAAAGCCAAAGAATGTAAGGGCCCAAAGCTCCCAAAAAGCTTGACACTGGCCTCAACAATGAAAGCAAAAGAAATGCTGGACGTTCTTTGAATGAAAAATTGCTCTTGATTGCAAAGAACATTGGGAATATTCAGACGAAGTGCCTTCAAAATGCAGCAAAAAATCGTATTTGGAAAGAAGCCGAAAAAAAACACAAAAATGACTGGATTGACGCAGCAGGGATGGAGACGAGAATCAGAGAGCTGCCTTCAAAAACAAGAAAAACTGAACAGAATGCTCTATAGAGAGCGTCATCAGAAAGCTTAAGAATCGACTGCCCGTTTCAAGCGAAAAGCTGGAAGAAGAAGAGATTTTTTCACAAGAATAACCATATGAGAATGTTTATGCCACTCTCAATGCTGTCTTACCGGTCCAAGAACTAAAAGCTCCCATCCTGTTAGATCAAAAGATGCGCGAGCTCCTGACTTCCCCAGATAGCATCATCAAAGAAGATGGGATAGGCAGCCATTTCAGTGATCTTCTGAATCAACCAACTGATGTGATGCATTTAAGCATCATTGGATGACATAAGAGGAAACATCCAATTATTGCGTCCTGTGTGAATCCAATACTCAAGAAGAAGCCGCTAGATAAATCTCTCAAGACACACCACATTAGGAAAAAGTCCGGGCCCTGCATGCGAAGGACTCCTCTGAAGTTATTGTGACATGGCGGCGCTCATTCCTGAGAGCTTTCCTTATTGTACTCTTTCACTCTTCTTGGACAACAGAGGAGATTCGCTCTGACTTGATTATCCTAATATCACCATCTAGGTGATCCATTGATGCGTGTTCTCAAGACAAATTATAGAGTGTATTCACTTCTAAGCGTAGTTGCGTAAAGTCCTAGAAAGGCGTTCATCTTGCAGAGCACTACATCACCTTGCAGAGAAGATATACCCACAATTCGTCAGGGTTACCGCAGGGCAGAAGTACTGTTGGATGGCAATCTTCACCCTTTGACAAGTTAATGGAGAAAACGAGAGAACAGCGCCGTGAAAGTTTTTATATAGTTTTTGTGACTTCACTTAAAGCGTTTGACACATCATCGTGAGCTAATCTTTATCATCCTGAGTTAAGTTGGGCTGCCGCCCTGCCAAGGTATATAAGAATCATCAAGAAAAGCCTATATACCGAACGTTGATGCAAGCTCATTTGTAGATGGTGAACATCACACAGGCCTTTTAAGTACAAACAGTGGGTCAAGCAGGAGTTGTAAGCTAGGCACCAACACTCATATGCTATCTATGCCAGCTTGTTTATACTTTGTCTTATGAATTATAAGAAAATCAAGCCACTTTCAGTGTAAAAGTCAGATTCTCGCTAATGATGGTGATCTATTTGATCTTCGAAGACTGAAGTCAAAGACAAAGTCTTACCGAGATAACATCAGCGGAGGCTCAATATGCAGGACATATAGCCATATTCAGTGACACTTCAGCGCCGACTACAGTTTGTTACTCACAGCTACAATCGACTTGCTCAAGAAAGATGGAACTACGTATTAACACACTGCAAAGACAGAGCACCATTGTGCACTGTACTGAAGCTGAGTTCTTATCAGCTGACACTAAGTTGGGCGAAGTTCACCGTTTCAAATACCTTGCCACTATGCTAACAAATGACTGCTCTATGAAAGAGGAACTTGCAGCTCGTAATCAAGCAACATTTTTTCCCAAATGTGCATTGCGTCGACTACATCAAAGACGTGTTCAAACTCCACGTTGACCTTACAATAAACACTAAAATCAAAGTCTAACAACCAGCTGTCTTAATGCCACTTCTGATGTACGGCAGTGAAACATCGACTCCTGCTACCATCATCAAATGTTCGACAAACTTGAGAACAATAAAACAACTAACCCAGCGTGCGCCGTAATCATGCATATTAAATGGGACATCATTACGATCAGAACGAGGAGGTCCTGAAACAGAGCGGAATCTCTTTT